CTCTCAAGTAGCAGAGAAAAGTAATGACATTACAAGAAGTCGAATTGCTTGATAGGTGCCGTAGATTGAGGTTTGCAGCTCTGTGTTTGCAAGATTAACAAATCTAGCATAAGGACCATTATAAAAAAGGAAAGAAAATCCTTGAAGCGGTTATTGCAGCTATGCCAGCAGTCATGAAGATCCTACACTTTTTGTTTTGCAAAATACCATTTTATGTACTATTAAAAATACAGCTTTTATGTGGTTATAGGCTTGCTGTTAGAAAGGCATACCTATAGATTCTAATGTGATTTCAGTCCAAGCAAAGTCATTGTATAACAACTTAAAGCAAAAGGAAGGTGAAGGGTCTAACGCTGGAGAATTTAATGCCAGCAAAGGATGGTTTGATAATTTTAGAAAGTGGTTTGCGTTAAAGGAAGTCAAACCAACAGCAGAAGCAGCTTCTGCCAACCAGGAGGCAGTAGAATATTTCATAGACATCATTAAGAAAATCATTTAGGAGAGAGGTATATGCCTGAATGGGTTTTTAATGTTGACAGAAGTGCCCTATTTTGGGGAAAAAATGCCATAAAGGACATTTGTTAATAAGGAAAACAAGTGAGCAGCAGGATTTAAAAGAGGAAGGGATAAGCCAACTCCATTGTGTGCAAATGCAGCTGGGTTTATGATCAGGACTGCCTTCTGCCTTTATCTATAAATCTGCTAACCCCTGAGTCTTGAAGGGAAAGTTGAATACCAGCTGCCAGTCTTTTGGATATACAATTAGAAGGTCTGGACAGTGAGAACCCTTTTTCTGCATTGATCCCATCAATGCTTTGTCCCTGGTTAGGAAGTAACTGCCAATAAGGAACTGCTTTTTAAAGTTCTTTTGATATCGAACAATGCCCCCAGCCATCCACAACCTTGTGAGTTCAGTACCAAAGGAGCTGAAGTGGTCTACTTGCCCTAAACACAGCATCTCTAGTTCAGCCTCTAGATTAGGAGGTCACGAGGAACTTCAAGGCCCATGACACTCCATACTGCGCAGAAAGGATTGTCAACGCTATGGAAGAGAATGCTAATAGCAAGAAGATCGTGAAATTCTGGTAGGATTCTGTCATTGAAGATGCCATCATTGTTATAAAAAAGACTGTGAAAGTCATCAAGCCCTAAAAAGATAAATGACCACTGGAGAAAACTGTATCCAGACGTTGTGCTTGATTTCACAGGATTTGTGACACAGTCAGTCAAGGAAATCACGGAACAGATTGTGGATATGGCAAAAACGGTGAGGATGAAGGGTTTCAAGATATGAATCTTGGAGAAATTTAAGAGCTAACAGACGTCACACCAGAGGAATTAACAGGAGACAACTTGATGGAAATGGGTGCTTCAAAACTAGTGCCAGACGGTGAGGAAGAAGACATAAAGGCCAGAGAACAAGTCAGTATCAGACAGTCTGATAGAAGGGTTTCAGTTATTAAAGACTGCTATTACCTTCTGTTATAACATGGACCAACGTCTGATATGGGCACTGAAAATAAGGCAAACAGTAGAAGAAGAATTGGTACCATACAGAAACATTTTTAGAGAAATGAAAAAGCAAAAGAAGCTAGACAGAAATTACATTGTATTTCCATAAAGTTACATCAAGCGTGTGTGCCTCCTCTTCTACCTCCTCTGCCTCTGCTACTACTGAAACAGCAGGACCAACCCCTCCTCTTCTTCCTCTGCTTCAGCCTACCCAGCATGAAGATGATGAGGATGATTATCCACTTCCACTTACTGATGAATAGTAAATATGTTTTTCTTTAGATTTTCTTAATACTTTATCACCCAGGCTCGAGTGCAGTGGTGCCATCATGGCTCACTAAGGCCTCACTGCAGCCTGAATCTCCTGGGCTCAAGTCATCCTCCCACCTCAGCCTCCCCAGTAGTTGGGACTACAGGTGCATGGCACTGTGCTCAGCTAGTTTTTAAAAAAAAAATTTTTGTAGAGACAAGGTCTCACTATGTCACCAGGCTGGTCTCAAACTCCTGAACTTAAGTGATCTTCCTGCCACTGCCCAGTGTGATTACAGGCATGATCCACGATGCCTGGCCTTAATAACCTTTTCTTTTCTCTAGCTTACTCTACTGTAAGAATAAAACATATGCCTATAACATGTAAAATATGTATTAATTGACCATTTATGTTATTGGTAAGGCTTCTAGTTACTGGTAGGCTATTTGTAGTTAAGTTTCTGTGGAGTCAGAAGTTATATGAGATTTTTGACTGTGCTCCTAACACCTGTATTGCTTAAGGGTCAGCTGTATTTGCCTTTTGTTGTAGTGATCATGTATTTTAGAAACTTTGTATTCTTTTTACTTGTGACATGGCTGTTGTTTATTGTTTAAGAAATACTTATAAGTCCTGGGTTATGACCTATGCTATGAAATGTGCAGCTACATTTTTGCTAGAGGTTATTTGGAATTGTGTTTATAACCAGCTTTGCTATGCAGTTTTAATCATATAAAATATACAATAATATTCCCTTACACAGATCTTTTATCTACTTCTAAACACTAACCTTACATGTCCTGCATTTAGAATTAAGCCGAATGTAGTAAAAAAATTCTGCAGTTTTAGAAACGTTTGCTTGACAGTTTTCTGTACCTAAATTCTCAGGGTAATAAGTAATAATCTTGGTGTAATTACAACAGCAACTGTCTACCTCTCTTGGTTACATCTACTTACCTATGTGTTTGTATATTTTCTACACTACTAAGAAGTCTCTCGTTTATATTTCTCACACAGAATTTGATTGATATTTGTCCCTTTTGCCCATTCTTTTGGACAAAAGACATCTTTTGTCTTTTCCAAAAGATCTAATCCAGGTAGTTCATGAATATTCCAAAGAAGAGCTACAAGTTCCAACAGATGTAAGTTGTGGTTTCTGCCTTGTTCTCAGTTGTAAGTTGGCTTATACGTGACTACCTAGAAAGAAAGAAATAAAAATTTCCAAAGAATTTAAATGAGATTTTATCATAATCTGATAGTTATCTAATATATTGAAATAGATACTGTTATATAAGGCTGTGTACTCTTATACAAGGCTTTTCTTTGCTTCCTTATATGTGAAAAGCTAAGAATACAATAGTTTTGTATTTACTTATTAATGTTAGACGGCAAATAACTTCATTTTATGAGCAAAAGGAGAAGCTATATCCCAATTTGAAAACTATTTATTGGATAGTTGTTAGACTTGTTAAGGATATAGAAATCAGGTTACATTAATCAAGCTCTAATTTTATACTGAGCCAGAAATGCAGACTTAAAGGTTTTCTTATTATTGACTCTTTAATGATTTAGGGAATTGTGGCTATAAATTTGGAAAAGGGAACCTGAGAGTCTCAGATAAGGTCCAGTCTCAGATCTCTAAGGCACTGACTACACATTCTATAAAGCATTAATCTATGGTGCACAATGGTTTTGTACTAAAAGGATTTTGTTTTCTGGTATTTGCATTCCATCTGATTATTATTTTTTTTAGATGGAGTCTCGCTCTGCTGCCCAGGCTGGAGTACAGTGGTGCAGTCTCAGCTCACTGCAGCCTCTGCCTCTAAGGTTCAAGTAATTCTCCTACCTCAGCCTCCGAGTAGCTGGGACTACAGGCCTGCCACCACACCTGGAAATTTTTTTGTATTTTTAGTAGAGATGTGGGTTCACCGTGTTGGCCAGGATGGTCTCGAACTCCTGACCTCAAGTGATCCACCTGCCTTGGCCTCCCAAAGTGCTAGGATGATGGGCTGCATAATATATCTATAACACTGTGCCTGGCCCCATCTGATTATTTTCTCAGTTTTAGAATATATAGTAACTGATGCCTGTCTTCATGTAGAAGTCTGAATAGCTGTTTGGGGTTACTGCAGAGCATGCAGGCTGCTGGGCTAGGGCAATTCTTAGATGAGATTGGCAGAATCAAGTCACAGAGCTACCACTATGCTTACAATTTCCCGATGCCCTCAGGGGTTACATAGTCAGTCCTATTGCCTGTTTGGCTTCACTCCTGATGAAGAGACTGCTCAGGAGATGAGTGTGAGACAGCAGTTCATTGGTCACAGAGACCTGACCTGCTCTAGATTCTGTGTAGTCATTGCAGTTCCCATTGCATGATTCCCTTGATATTAAAAACAATTGGCTCAGAAGTGGGCAGATGGAAAGAGGGACATCATTCATCTATAGTACACCAGACAGGTCTCCCCAGAAGATTGTGAATGTTTAGTTAGGGGGAGAAAATTATCTTTGTTGTTTTTTTTTTAACTTTTCCATGTTTTATGGCTCCTTGTGTGTCAATTTATTTACTGGCGGAAAGGAAAAATATAAATTTACTGATAATCCTGAGAGCAGATCTCAGTGGCTGCCTCGAACCCTTATTTGGAGTTAGGCACCTACCTCACTGATTCCTGTTTTCAGGGTGTTCTTGTGGCAGTAACACAATGGGAAGCCCCCTTTACACCATTATTTGTTCTCTTAGATTTTTACATCTCATGCACCTCTTCTCAGTAAGTTCCTTCTGAAGCTGATTTATCTTTCTCAATCCAAGGAAAATATGATTCCCAAATCCCTGTAGACTAGGAGCCTGACAGCCAGGTGATTCTCCCTGTTTCTGCCTGGATGAGCAGCGAAGTATGGCATGTAGGGCACAATGTAGAGAAGCCGATGGTCTTTTAGCTCCTTCTAGATGGGTTATTATGAGGTGAATTCCCAGAACATCAGGTATAGATGTTGGGAGTTGGGGAACACAATAAATGACACCTCACTCTTCCCCACCTGTGCTCAAAACAAATTGAGACACCCAGAAGTTGGGCACATAGATCAAAATGACCCTGTTACTTACTGATAAAGCTGTTTGGAGTGTCGGGGTCCGGCACGTCTGCCAGGGGGGCTACCGACCCACGGGAGTCCCCAAGACCACCAACGTAGATGTCTCGTTCAACCTGAGGGAGAGAGCGTGCGGAAAAGAAAGAACACAGGAAAGTAGAGTCTGGAGGTCTGCGTGCAGTCAAGCAGCACACAGCACTTTATTTTTGTAGGTTACAGCTTTTATACCTTTTTTCTTGTTACCTTTACTTTAGCTCAGCAGAAAAAGGGGGCAAACAGAAAAGGGAACAGAAATCATGTAAAAATAGTTATCAGGGGCTTCAGATAACAGCTCACAAAGCATTTTTAAGGGGGCCTGTGATAATAGCTTACAAAGCAGTTTAAGAGTTAATATACGTTTTTCAAAGATACACAGTGCAAGCAAACAATGGTGCCCTTTAAGGTGGCTTGTTAACTATGTTTTCCATCAGGAGGTTGAACAGAGGCTTAGCTCCTGAGAAAATATGGGCAGGGGTCTTTTGCCCCTCTCAGGCATCTCAATTGCAGCAAGCCTATTGCTTACACAGAGACTAAAGGATATATGAAGCAGTCAGCACAATGTCCTCATAAACCACAAGCCCTTACTCTGCATTCTGTTTTTGCCTCAGTGGCTTAGCCATTTTTTGCCTCAACTCGACAACTCTCGAGAGCAGGGAGAGCGGGCAGATAGGTCCAGCAGCCAAGATGGGGCTAGTCACGCTACTGTCTCAAGCCCTTGGCGCGAACACTGTCATTGGAGTATGCAGAAATAATGGGCTTTCTAACATTACAGTCTAAATTAAGATGGACTTACCCAGTCACAAACAGAGCTACCCAACTAGGGGTCTCCCCAAGGGGGACTGTCCCTGTAAAACTGACAGCATGAAGGAACGGAATGGAATGTGTCTTTTCTCTCCAGGAGGTCCCAAACAGAAAATAGGAATGGGACTGAGCAAACTCACCAACCACGTGAATCATTCCTCCCCCGAGGAAGAGAGAATGAAAGGAAGCCAGGAGTATTTCTCAGATAAGAAAGTGGGTTCCAGCCTCCTGTCCACCCACTGCCCATGAACAGGTGCCCAACATTGGCACAAAAGCTCCTTTAGAGCCAAACCTGAATTTGGGATGATCTCAGTCATTAACATGGATAAGAGTTTGCTTTTGTGACACTTGATTAATGACACACTGATTCTTTTTCTTACAGGAGACAAATTTTGTTTGTTTTGATAGAGGAAGCGATGATTTTGATAATCATAATGTCGAAGAACTTTTAGGGTTCTTGGAACTGTACAATTCTGCAACTGGAGATGCTGAGAAAGTTGTAGAAAAAACTTCGCAGGATGTGGGAGTAATCCCTGAATTAGCTAAGGAAAGTGAACCTGAGCCTGAACCAGTAGAAGCCAACTCAGAAGAAAGTGACAGAGTGTTCTCAGAAAAGGCAAAGGATCTTCAGGAACAGTTTACAGCTCAGAAGCACCACCCCCATACAAACAGCCAAGCACATCATGCTCAGGGAGAGCAGCCTTCATATGAGGCTTTTGAAGAAATGCTGCAAGATCAAGTAAAAGTGCCAGAAAGTGAGAACAACAGAACCAGCAATAGTTCTCAGGTCTCAAATGAACAGGATAAGATTGATGCCTATAAACTTTTGAAAAAAGAAATGACTCTAGACTTGAAAACCAAATTTGGCTCAACAGCGGATGCAATTGTATCTGATGATGAGACAACCAGACTTGTTACTTCATTAGAAAATGACTTTGATGAGGATTTGGATGCTGAGTATTATGCAGTTGGAAGGGGCGATGAGGAGAACCAAGAAGACTTTGATAAGCCATTACTCACCTTTACAGATGGGGAAGGTATCAAAACTCCAGCAAAGTCTGGAGATGAGAAATATTCAACAGATAAAGAGCCAAGTTCGAATGAAGAGGATAAGGCTGAGCCAACTGTGCACCCTGGCATCAAAAATGATGATAAAAATATACTAACAACCTGGGGGGATACTATCTTTTCTATTGTCGCAGGAGGTGAAGAAAAAACAGATACACTGGATGTAGAGAGCTCTAATTCAGAGGAAGAAAAAGATGATGATCCGTTAGTCCCAGATAGCAAACAGGGGAAACCACAGTCAGCAACAGATTATAGTGACCCAGACAATGTACATGATGGTCTTTTGATTGTAGACATCCCTAAAACAAGTAATGACCAAGGCCCAGAAGTAAACACAGAACTTCAAATTTAAAAAAAAGGGTGGGAAGCTCAGGAATCCAAGAAGGGCCTGGTCCAAGATGAGACTGAATTCAAGGATGAAAAGCAAGAAGGGATGACTGTGTACAGGTCTACTCACAGCAATAACCTCAGCTCTATGCTGGCTGATGAAAAGGGCAAAGATGCATTAAAATCAGCCTTCGACGATAAAGAAAATGACCTAAAATGAGCAGTTATTTATATCTCAAAAGGAATTCCCCACGAAGAAAAGCCTGGAGAGCAGATTTTGGAAGGTGGCTCAGAGAGTGAATCTGCACAGAAAGCTGCAGGGAATGAAATGAATGACAGAAAGATTCAACAGGAATCCTTGGGTACTGCACCAGTCATGGGAGATAACCACCCTAATGCATCCAGAGACCGGGTGGAGGGAGACGCTTCAGTAAATGGAGCCAAACCACACACGCTTCCAGTGGAGCATCAACGTGAGGAATTTAAAGAGGAACTAGTGCTTAAAACTCAGAACCAACCTAGATTCTCCTCTCCAGATGAGACTGGTTTGCCCAGAGAACTGGAAGAAAAGCTTCCCATCCTGGGAAGAAATCTTTCTTGGCAACAAGAAAGAGATGTGGCTGCCACAGTCAATAAGCAACTAAGTGAGAAGATAAGGCTCTCCGAGGGCAGGGCCAAAGAGGACTCCTCGGATGAGGAGGTTTTTCATCACGAGGCAATGCAGGGCACACAAGAAGCAGGACAGACATACCAATCTGACAGCACAGGAGAACCAGCTTTCCTTTCAGAAGCAGTAGAGGATGAGTATCCCCCTGAAGAACTACTGGAGGATGAAAATGCTGTAAGTGCAAAACGGTCTAAAGAAGAAGACCCTGGAATTCAGGGCAGGCAGTTTGATGTTAATCTACAAGTCCCTGAAAGAGCAGTTTTGGGGACCACTAATCCTGATCCAGAAATTGAAGAAAGCAAGCAAGAAACTAGTAAGATGTTGGATAGTGAAGAAAAGCGTGAGACTGCAGCCAAAGGAGTCAACACAGGAGGCAGGGAACCATATACAAAGGTGGAAACAGAACGCCCTCCCGCAGACGAGAAAGCACACAGACCATCTGAAGGAAGCGACTTTTCTGACCGCATAAAGACTCAGACTCCAGAGTTAGGTGAAGTGTTTCAGAATAAAGATTCTGACTATCTGAAGAACAACAACCCTGAGGAACATCTGAAGACCTCATGGCTTGCAGAGAAGCCTGAGGGAGAACTCTCAAAGGAGGACCATGAGGCCGCAGACAAACACATGGGCACAGAAAGCCAGGGGTCTGCTGCCACAGATCTCGAAGATGACTTGTTCCGTTGGACTCCCCGTACAACTGTAAAGCCAGAGTATAGTGACAAGAGGGAGGACTTGCCCATCATAAGCAGCTTCTTTAAAGGGCAGTCTTTGCAGCGGTTCCATAAGTACTTTAATGTCCATGAGCTGGAATCCTTGCTACAAGAAATGTCATCAAAACTGAAGTCAGCACAGCAGGAGAGCCTGCCCTATAATGTGGAAAAGGTCCTAGATAAGGTCTTCCGTGCTTCTGAGTCACAAATTCTGAGCATAGCAGAAAAAATGCTCGATATTCATGTGGCTGAATATAGAGATCTGGGGATGAAGGAAAATAACATATTCGAAGAGGCTGCAGTGCTTGACGACGTTCAAGACCTCATCTATTTTGTCAGATACAAGCACTCCACAGCAGAGGAGACAGCCATACTGGTGATGGCACCACCTCTAGAGGAAGGCTTGGGTGAAGCAATGGAAGGTGAGATACTTATGGCCTTGTAGAATTGGGCTGGAGAAGCAGGCGGAGCAGGGTTTGCTGAGGTGCCTTGTATCTTACTTGTAAAGCTGTTGAGTTTCCAGTGTGCCTAAAGGAGGGACAACACAGGGAGGCCCACATATTCCTTCCTGCCTTCTTTTAGGCTGCAGCATGGAGGAGGATTTCTTGCTGTTTCCCCTGGAATAGTTGAGACTGGTTAGCATTTTCAAAAGGAAACTTTATGAAAAGTTAAAGATATAACCCAGAAAGTAATGTACAAAATACAGATGTCATATAAAATTATGAAAGGATTTTATTAAACACAGTTTTTCAATCATAAGAAACTGCTCTCTAACCATGGATTGACTGGTATAACTTTTAGATCAATGCCTTGGCTGAATTCCTATGTTCTCTCCAGTTTTATCTTTTGCAGATGGCTTGTTCTTCCTGTTTTTTGGAAGCACTTACTCCAGTTAAACCCTCCTGGACCTAAGGTTCTTGCATTCAGATTAATCAAGGTTGGGACAGGGATGGGAAGCCTTCTAATGCAGCACTTGATGCGTGGAAACCATTCAGTTGCATTGACTCTGAGCCAATATCTTGACATAAGTGTTCTGATTTCTAAGTCCTTGTTCTATTCTCTGCATGTAGGTTTTTCTTTCTTTTCTTCCCTTTTCCTGGCCACCCTCCCTTCCTTCCTCTTTCTCTTTTTTTTTTTCTTCAGACAGGATATCACTCTGTCACCCAGGCTGGAGTGTAGTGGCATGATCATAGCTCACTGCAACTTCTAACTCCTAGGCTCAAGTGAACCTCCCACCTCAGCCTCCCAAGCGGCTAGGACTACAGGCATGCATCACTGTACCCAACTAATTTTTTATTTATTGTAGAGACAGGGTCTCAATATGCTGCCCAAGCCAGTCTTGCCCTTTTGGCCTCAAGTGACCCTCCTACTTTGGCCTCTAAGAGTACTAAGATTACGTGTGTGAGCTACCGCACCTGATGTATGCAGGCTTTTCAGACAGATGTATCTGAATCAAGAGCACCAGCGGGACAGAAAGCCAAAGGCAAATGTATTTCCCCAGACTGCTAATTTTTCCCGAGACTTGGGGGAGGAGAACTCTTTTTGCATTTAATTAAAACATATGTTTTGGATGAGAATGCAAAATTCAGGTGAATTTTCAGGGTAAAATAGGAGACTACAAAGAAATCTACCTTTGCTGTGGATCACACTGGACTGTCCCCTGAGCCTCTTAGGGAAGGAGATGGGTTCACTTCCTCTGACTCTTTGAGGTACTTTGAAAGTATTCGAAAGACATTTCAGCAAGCTGCCCTGCCGTGGCAGTCCCTGTCTGTACTAGTTCTGTGAGAAAAAGCATGCTTGTGCGTGCAAGAGTTCATGTTACTTCTCTGCAGAAGAGATGTTTCACATTTCTGCTCTTAAGTGGAATTCTCTTTTGCACATTTGTGTGGGCATAGGTGAGTTTGCCAAGGAAAGAAGTTACTGAAGTCCCTACCATAAATATAATCATTTATGAAATACTCCGCTGTAGATTTTATTATGTAGATTAGTCATCCTTTAAATGGAATAAAAGAAACTGAAATTCTTATTTCCCTGCCCAGTTGTGCTCCATGGGATGCCTGTGCATGGTGGGCAATGTTGAGGTGCTCTGCAGCTGGGATGGTCAGTGGGATTAGCCAGACATGTAGTGTCATCAAGCTGTGCTAGCCCAATGCATTCTTCTCACCTGTAGAGATGCAACCACCGCATGAAGATAACGTGTCACAAGAGAACACCGCAGAACTGAACGCTAAGGTTCCTGAAGAGCCCACCCGCTTGGACCAACCTGTGATGAGGGACACTCGTGCCTCAGAAGTGTTTCCAAAGCCACATACTGAGAAAGACTTGGACCCAGGTAAAGCTTGCTGACTTTTTTCTACGAAGTGGAAACATCAAAAAGAAGGCCTTCTAGGAGATTCATTGTCAGAGGTAGTAGCTAGAGACATGTTAAACTCAAAGGAAAAGCGGATCCCAGAGCTGAGAGAAAAGCAGGCGTTCAGACAGATGGAGATCAAAAATAGGAAAGACACCAGAGACTGTAACTAACCTACAAACCAATGTTTGGCTGTCACTGTCTTGTGTAAATTATTTCAATCTAAAATGTTATTCTTCAAAGGCCTCATGCTCTAAAACAGTGGTTTTCAACCAGACCGACAGCATCAGAAACTCTGGGGGTGGGACCAGCAGTCTGTGTTTGACAAAATACTGATTGATTATCTCTCCAGGAAAGACTGACCTGATGCAAATTAGCAGTGGTTGGAGAACCACCGCTCTAAAACACAAATTCTGTTTTCCTTCTATTCTACCCCTTCTCTTTCCAAATAGAGTACTGTGCAATGCAGTTTTTTTTTTTTTTTTTTTTTTTTTGATTTGCTATCTGTACATGGTAAATAAAACTTCTTAAAATACAGTGAAGGGGTCCAGGTATGTTTATACCATAAGCTTATAGGAGACAGTACGGACATTGGAGTTTGTAATAGTCCAGGGCAGACTGATACGAAGAGTATTTCACCATAGTGCTCGGGCAACATCAGGTGAGATGGGAAAGTTTACTTTCCAGGCATAGTGCCTAACATTTAGTTGATACTCAATAAGTATTTTTTTAAAATGAGAAACAATTCTTATTCTAAAGCACAAAATATCTTTTTCCTCCCAGTTCTAGGGCCAATTACAACAGAAGACCCTCCTACGGATGGTGTTGAAGCAAACAAGCAACTGGAGATGGTTGCCGAAGAGCCAGCAAGCGTCCCACCCTTGGAAAAGACAATCCTTCTAATCTGTTCAGTCACGTTTTATTTAACTAAGTTGGTAAGTTTCACACATAGGGCTTTTTTTTTTTTTTTTTTAGCTAAAATGTTGATTATTACAGTTTCTAAGTTGATTTTGAGCATGAGGTGAATGACCTAAAATGTGTTTATGAAGATGACTCCTGATCCTGTGAAGAGAGATCCTGAAATGAGCCACAGGTGTGTGGCTTTAATGGGCTCTTAGTTCAGCACATGAGCAGGCTTTACTACATGCCCGAGCTGGGCACAGGCACATCTGTCAAATGCGGTTCTTCTCTTCAGGATCCTTTCAGTCTAGCCAGGAGAGAGAGACATTCACTTGAAATGTACTGTGATAATGAGCAGAAAGAGAAGTATTTACCTGATGGTAGCACAATCTATGGCATAAATTGGTTCACTGTGGTGGGAGAGTGATATGAAAGGCCGGAAGTTTACTGAGAGATGCTTTAAGCACAGTCGAAAGACAGATGGGAGCTTGACTTGGAGTTGCCAAATAGAAGGGCTGGGGAGGGAGATGGGCAGGGGGCGGGCACCATGCAGTCAGGCAGAAAAAATAACACATTCAGAGAAGTGAAGGCATGAAGGAAAGGTTATTTGGGGAAGCCAGGGAAGCGTGAGTAGTTGCTGTTAATTCTTTTTTTCCTTTTTTTTGAGACAGGGTTTTGTTCTGTCATCCAGGTTGGAGTGCAGTGGCGTGATCTCAGCTCACTGCAACCTCTGCCTCCTGGGCTCAAGTGATCCTCCTGCCTCAGTCCACTTAGTGGCTGAAATCACAAGTGTGCACAACCACGCCTGGCCTTTTTTTTTTTCCTTCTTCTTATTTTTAGTAGAGGTGGGGTTCCGCAGTGTTGCCCAGGCTGGTCTCAAAGTCCTTACCCATGGGCGCTTTCATCACTTTTGTTTTAATTGAAACAAAATAAGGAGCAACCAGACTCAATCAGTAACAAAACGTCTCCCAACAAAGAAAAGTCCAGGACCAGATGGCTTTACTGCTGAATTCTACCAAATACATAAAGAACAACAATTCTGCTCAAACTACTCCAAAGAATTGAAGAGGACGAAACTCTTCTTAAATCACTGTATAAAGCCAGCATTACCTTGATACCAAAACCGAAGACACGACAAAAAGAAAACTACAGGCCAGTATCTCTGTTGAACAAAGACCCAAAAATCCTCAACAAAATACTAGCGAACTGAATCCAACGGCACATCAAAAAGATAGCAGAGCAGGAGACAGTAGCTCACACGTATTAATTCCAGCTAGGTAGGAGGCTGAGGCAGAACTGCTTGAGGTCAGGAGCTTAAGACAGCCTGGGCAACAGTGAGATCCTGTCTCTAAAAATAAACAAAATAAAATAAATTAGCTGGGCCTGGTGGCGTACACCTATGGTCCCAGTTCTTTAGAGGCTGAGGCATGAGAATAGCTTGAATCCAGGTGTTCGAGGCTGCAGTGAGCTATGATCGCACCACTGCACTCCAGCCTGTGTGACAGAGCAAGACCCCATCTCCAAAATAACAATAATAATAAAATAATACACTGTGATCAAGTGGGATTTATCCCATGGATGCAAGGATGGTTCAACATAATGTAAGTCAAAAGGTGATACAACACATCAACAATGTGTTATGTCCTTCATCAATGAAGAACAAAAACCAAATGATCATTTTAACAAAGACAGAAAAAAGCATTTGAAAAAATTCAGCATTCCTTCCTAATAAAAGCTCTCAACAAACTCTCAGCAAAGAAGGAACATACTTCAACATAATAAAGGCTATAAATGACTAAAACCCCAACATCATACTGAATGAAAGCCTTTCCCTCTGAGAACTGGAACAAGACAAGGATGCCCACTTCTTCTTATTCAGCATAGTAATAGAAGCCCTAGCCAGAGCAAGAGGAAGACATAAGAGAATTGGAAAAGAGGAAAAGAGAAAGTTGAACTGTCCCTCTTTGTTGATTATATGATCTTACATATAGAAAAACCTAAACATACCACCAAAAATTCTTAGAACTGGTAAACAAGTTTAGCAAAGTTGCAGTATATTAAAATCAACCTACAAAAATCAGGAGCATTTCCATTCAACAGTAACATACTAGCTGGAAAAAAAAATCAGGGAAGTAACACCATTTACAATAACTATGCCAAAAAATTAAATAGGAATAAATTTAATTAAGGAGATGAAACACCACTACAAGGAAAACTATGATACACTGAGGAAAGACACTGGAGACAGAAACAAATGAAACAAAATCCCATACTTATGAAGAATTCATATCATTTATATGACCACACTACACAAAGCAGTGTAAAGATTCAATGTGGCCAGGTATCGTGGCTCATACATGTAATCCCAGCGGTTTGCAAGGCTGAGGCAGCTGAGCACTTGAGGTCAGGAGTGCGAGACCAGCCTGCCCAACATGGTAAAACCCCGTCTCTTTTAAAAATATACAAATTAAACAGGTGTGGTGGCACATGCCTGCAGTCCCAGCTACTCAGGAGGCTGAGGCAGGACAATCACTTGAACCCAGGAGGCGGAAGTTGCAGTGGGCCAAAACTGTGCCACTTCACTGCCACCTGGGCAAATGAAATAAGCTAAGCATAGAAAGACAAATGTCCCATATTCTCACTCATATGCGGGAGCGAAAACAGAGCGAGACTCCATCTCAGAAAAGTAAATATTCAACGCAATTCCTAGCAAAATGCCACTAATATTCTTTATATAAACAGAAAAGGCAATCCTAAAATTCATATGGAAACACAAAAGACTCCCAAATAGCTGAAGCAGCACTGAGCAAAAAGTACAAAGCTGGAGATATCACACTACCTAATTTCAAAATATACTTCAAAGTTAATAGTAAAAAACAGCATGGTGTTGTTATAAAAACAGACACTTAGAACAATGGGACAGAATAGAGAAGCCACAAATAAATCCACCAGTGTATTGCCAACTGATTTTCAACAAAGGCACCAAGAACATGCAGTGGGGAAAGGACACGCTCTTTAAGAAATGGTGCTGGGAAAACTGGCTATCTGTGTGAAGAAGAATAAAAACAGACCCCTACCTCTCATCATAAACAAAAATCAACTCAAAAGAGAGACTTAAATCTACGACTCCCCCACAACTATGAAACGACTATAGGAAAACATAGGAGAAACTCTCCAGACTAACATTTGGTCTAGTCAAAAATGTTATGGCTAAGACTTCAAAAGCACAAGTAAAAGAACAAAAATAGACAAATGGGACTATATCAAGAAAAATCTGGCCAGGCATGGTGGTTCACGCCTATAATCCCAGCACTTTGGGAGGCTGATGTGGGCGGATCACAAGGTAAAGAGATCGAGACCATCCTGGCCAACATGGTAAAACCCTGTCTCCACTAAAAAATACAAAAATTAGCTGGTGGTGGTAGTGCACGCTTGTAGTCCCAGCTACTCTGGAAGCTGAGGCAGGAGAATCGCTTGAACCCGGGAGGTGGAGGTTGCAGTGAACCAAGAACGCACCACTGCACTCCAGCCTGGTGCCTGGCGACAAAGTGAGATTCTGTCTCAAAAGAAAGAAAAAGCTTCAGCACAGCAAAGGAAACAATCAACATAGTGAAGAGACAACCTGTAGAATGGGAGAAAATAACTGCAAACTATTCACCTGACAAGACTCTAATACTCAGTTTATAAAGGAAATCAAATAAATCAACAGCAAAAAAAAAAAAAATAGAAAACAAATAATCTCATTACAAAGTGGGCAAAGGGTGTGAACAGACATTTCTTAAAAGATGTCATATAAATGGATAAGAGGTATGCGAAAAAATGTTTAACAACACTAATCATCAGGGGAGTGCAAATCAAAACCACAAGGAGACATCATCTTAGCACAGTTAGAATGGCTACTATCAAAAAGACAGAAAGTAACAAATGATGGCAAGGATGTGGAGAGAAGGGAGCTATGATAACTTAGGTGGGAATGTCAATCAGTGTACAGTCATTATGGAAAACGTTATGGAAGGCCGGGCGCGGTGGCTCAAGCCTGTAATCCCAGCACTTTGGGAGGCCGAGGCGGGTGGATCACCAGGTCAAGAGATCGAGACCATCCTGGTCAACATGGTGAAACCCCGTCTCTACTAAAAATACAAAAAATTAGCTGGGCATGGTGGCACGTGCCTGTAATCCCAGCTACTCTGGAGGCTGAGGCAGGAGAATTGCCTGAACCCGGGAGGCAGAGGTTGCAATAAGCCAAGATTGCACCACTGCACTCCAACCTGGGGACAGCAAGACTCCGTCTCAAACAACAATAAAAAAGACACAAAATGATAAATTCAGTGGAGAGGTTCAACAGTAGATACAATCTAGCAGAAGAAAAAATAAACTTAAGATAGATCAATAAATACTGTATAATTCAAAGAATAATAACAAAACTACAGAGAGCCTCAGAGCCATCATTACACACATCATTCAGCAAACCAACAAATGCATAATGAGAGTTTCAGAGGAAAGGAGAGAAAACAGAGGCAGAAAAAATATCCAAAGAAGTAATAAGTGAAAATTTCTGAAATGTATTAAATAACACCAACCCATACATCCAGAAAGTTCCATGAACTCCAAGAAGGAAAAAACACAAACAAATGGAAAAAAGACATCACAGTAAAAAGGTGCAAGTTAGGCCAGGCGCGGTGGCTCAAGCCTGTAATCCCAGCACTTTGGGAGGGTGAGGCGGGTGGATCACGAGGTCAAGAGATCGAGACCATCCTGGTCAACATGGTGAAACCCCATCTCTACTAAAAATACAAAAAGTTAGCTGGGCACGGTGGCATGTGCCTGTAATCCCAGCTACTCAGGAGGCTGAGGCAGGAGAATTGCCTGAACCCAGGAGGCGGAGGTTGCGGTGAGCCGAGATCGCGCCATTGCACTCCAGCCTGGGTAACAAGAGCGAAACTCCGTCTCAAAAAAAAAAAAAAAAAAAAAAAAAAAGGTGCAAGCTACAGACTTTGGGAGGCCGAATCAGGTGAACTGCTTGAGCCCAGGAGTTCAAGACCCACCTGGGCAATATGGCAAAACACCATCTCTACAAAAATTACAAAAATTAGCCAGGCCTGGTAGCCTGCACCTGTGGTCTCAGTTACTTGGTAGGCTGAGGTGAGAGGATAGCATGAGCACAGAAAATTGAGGCTGCAGTGAGCTATGACTGCGCCACTGCACTCCAGCCTGGGTAAGAGAAACAGCCTGTCTCAAAAAAAAAAAAATTACATCCACATAAAACCTGAACATTAATGTTTTTAGCAACTTTATTCCTAATACCCAAAAACTGTAAACGACCCAGTTGTACTTCGACAGGTTTATGGGTAAACTGTGATACATCCACACCATAGAATACTACTCAGCAATGAAAAAATACTACTACTAAAAAGCTTAGACGAATCTCAAGGGAATTATGTTGAGTGAAAAAAATCAGTCCCAAAAGATTATACACTGCATGTTTTCATTTACATAGCATTCTTGAAATAACAAAAATATAGAAATGCAGAATATATCCAGGGCTGAAAGCAGTTAGAGAGCGCAACGTGAGGAAGATAACTTGGTTATAAAAGGGCGACAAGAGGGATTCTTACAGTAATGTTCAGCATCTTAACTGTATCAGTGTTAATATCCTACTTGTAATATTATACTACGGTTTTCCAAAATGTCATCATCAGGGAAAACTAAGATGTACAAGAGATCCGTATTCTTAAAATTTCATTTGAATCAATATCGGAAATGTAAAGTTTAACAAAAATAAATTTTTTTTTTTTGAGGCGGAGTTTCGCTCTTGTTGCCCAGGCTGGAGTGCAATGGCGCGATCTTAGCTCACCGCAACCTCCGCCTCCTGGGTTCAGGCAATTCTCCTGCCTCAGCCTCCCGAGTAGCTGGGATTACAGGCACGCACCACCTTGCCCAGCTAATTTTTTTGTATTTTCAGTAGAGACGGGGTTTCACCATGTTGACCAGGATGGTCTCTATCTCTTGACCTCGTGATCCACCGCCTCAGCCTCCCAAAGTGCTGGGATTACAGGCTTGAGCCACCGTGCCCGGCCAAAAATAAAATTTTAATGAAATTGGTATCAAATAGCATGTACCAAAATAAAACCAAGCACATCAGTTTTCTCCACTGAAAGAAATAAATGCTTTTTTATACCATCTGATATCATATGTCTAAAAATTTAAAAGTAAATCAGCAAGCAGTAGAGTGTAGTTTGGCTTGTGTGGAAGCAAATAATACTGGCAAATGTGCAAGATGTGTAACATGTCTAAAATGTTTCAGAAGTTTTCAATATAATTTACTACATAATACAATATGCAATGTATGTCACAATATGTAGTAATACTACTCTGATAGCACTTTGTTGGTATTTTGAGACAGTCTCGCTGTCACCCAGGCTGGAGTTCAATGGTGCAAACTCAGCTCACGGCAACCTCCATCCCCCACCCTGGGTTCAAATGATTCTCCTGCCTCAGCCTCCTGAGTAGCTAGGATTACAGGAGTGCTCCACCACGCCCAACTAATTTTTGTATTTTTCGTAGAGACAGGGTTTTGCCATGTTGGCCAGGCTGCTCTCGAACTCCTGACCTCAAGAGATCCACCCACCTCAGCCTCCCAAAGTGCTGGGATTACAGGCGTGAGCCACACTGCGCCTGGCCTCTAATAGCGCTATTGACCCATTCAGTGACCAAATTCTTGGTTTTGAAACTACAGATGCTCAAGGCCACGTGCTCCCCAAAAATTCCCACTGAAATGTACATAAAGAACTGAAAAATCAGTGAACTGATTATTATTGACATCCATGCTGTGGCCCAGGCACGGATTACAGGCATGACCCACTGTACCCCACCAAGCCATAACTAATAGCAGGTCTACTGCTATTCCCAGGACAATGCCTTGCACGATAATTACGTACTGAATAAGATGATGTTTACTAATATAAAATAACATTAAGCTGAAAGCAAATACCAGCAATGTTTTTTTCATGCAGTACTAAAATTATATATTGCTTTGTATGAAAACGTTTTAGTTTTACATGCCAATGTAAATTTACATAATTATCATATAATTAGAGTACACTCTCTAAGAGTATTTACATAAACACTTTCTTTCAAGTGTCATAACCTAAATTATAGTTACCTTATTTAAAGCATGTCCAATATGAGGGTCACCATTTGCAGAAGGAGGTCCATCAGGAAGGCAAAATTCTGTCTTTACTTTTCTTTCTCTTTGTCATGAATAAAGTTCTGAAAATCCACATTTCTGTTTAAAAAGAACAACGATATCTAAACATCATATAAATACATACTCCTGAGTCTTACAATCAATAACAGCCAACACTTGCTTATTTCCATTCCAATTCCATTCCAATCTATTCAACTCTGAAATACAAGGTGAGGTTTCTGAAATGTGTGTCTGAGTACACATCTCTTAAAACCTTTCAGTAGTTTCCCCACACACCTCAAGACTGAAGTCTAAACTCTTTACATGATAGGCAGGACCCTACAAAGCTTTAGTACCACTAAGTTCTTGGGCATTCTCTCGTCACTCCCCACCCCCACCACGTTGAAGGACCTACAGATTCCCGATACACACATTCTTGCTATTCTTTGGCTGCGACGCTTGCCATTCCCAAAATCTGGGAACAACATGTATGGCAGTCTCACTTCCCTTCCCTCACTTGCTGTGTGATCTTGGCCAAGTTACTATGCACTTAGCCTGCTTTCTCATTTGAAAAAAAAAGTGTTAATAATATCCATCGCACAGGGCTGGTGTGAAGATTAAACAAGAAAACACTGGAAACTGTCACTCTAGCATAGAGAAGGTACTAAATAAAAAGCCTTTAAAAAATCAGATGAACTCTGGGCGGGCACGGTGGCTCACGCTTGTAATCCTGGCACTTTGGGAGGCTGAGGAGGGTGGATCACCTGAGGTCCGGAGTTCCAGACCAGCCTGTCCAATATAGTGAAACTCTGTTTCTACTGAAAAATACAAAAATTAGCCAGACGTGGTGGTGCACGCCTGTAGTCCCAGGTACTCGGGAGGCTGAGGCAGGAGAATCGCTTGAACCCAGGAGGTGGAGGTTGCAGTGAGTCAAGTTCGTTCCACCGCACTCCAGCCTGGGAGACAGAGCAAGACTCCATCTCAAAAAAAAAAAAAAAAAAAAAAAAAAATTTAGATTAACTGTCAGAATATTTAGCTCAGTATATTTACTTAACTAATATTCCAAGAATATCAGAGATTTTTAAAGACTAGAATTACAGATACTAACGAGAGGAATCTCTGCCCTTAAAAGTTCAGTCTAGGCTGGGCACGGTGGTTCACGCCTGTAATCCCAGCACTTTGGGAGGCCAAGGCGGGCAGATCACTTGAGGTGAGGAGTTCAAGACCAGCATGGACAACATGGTGAAACCTTGTCTCTACTAAACATACAACAATCAGCCAGGAGTCGTGGCATATGCCTGTAATCCCAGCTACTTGGGAGGCTGAGGCATGAGAATCGCTTGAACCCGGGAGACGGAGGTTGCAGAAAGCCAAGATCGTGCCATTGCACTCCAGCCTGGGCGACAGAGCAAGACTCTGTCTCAAAAAAAAAAAAAAAAAAAAAGGCTTAGGTTAGTAGAGGAAATAGACACATAGTCTATAAAGGGGACTCTGAGCAAGGACTGCTACTTCATATTTCAAACGAGTCATAATTCCAACTCGGGATCTAAAGAGCCCAAAAGGTGGACTTCAGCTTCCCCCTCATTCGTCATAACTGAGGTTTTTTTAAGTTTTTTTTTTTTTTTTTTTTTTTTTTTTTAGAACAAGGTTGGGCGGGAGGAGGCCTAGCCAATATGGTCTTGAACTCCCGTCTTGGCCTTTCGAAGTGCTGGGATTACAGGCGGGAGCCACTGCGCCCAGCCTAGGTTTTTATTTGCATGTGGACATGTGAATTTACTTTTTACAAGGCATTGGGAAAGTGCCCAAAGTTGATCTGTTTTGCCTAGGGGAGAAATGGGGCATACGTGCGATACATGCTGGTATCTGGGTATCGCTAGTGTCCCCCTTAATTTCCCCCCGGAACCTGCTACAAAGGAGGGAGACTCATCTAGAGATTTCTACACTTAGGTTTTCAGCCCACAAACTCCATGGGAGGCAGAAGAATTCCACCAGTCTGGTCACACCCCTGCCCACCCGCACCGGCGTGGAGCGCAGAGGTGTGGCTCCCGCCGAGCGCCAGGAGCCCGCAGCTGTGTCTGGCCTCTCCGGTGGCCCCGCGCCGAAGCAGGGCCCGTACCTGCTGGATCTCCAGTTCCGTGTCCGGCAGCTGGCGGCCCAGCAGCTTCATGGGGAAGGTGGTCTGCGGCAGCAGCACCGTGTCCCGGTATCTGCCGCCATTCGAGTTCGGCTGGTGGTTACTGGCCCCGGAGACCGACTGCTCCAGAAGCCTTTTCGTCGCCGATAGCCATCCCAGGCGGCAGGGAAAGCGAGGCGTCCCCCACAAACTTCGGGCCGTGGCCAAGGCCGCCGCCCCAGGCCTGCGAGGGCGCAGCCCCCAACGCATAGTCGGGCTACCCCTAGGCGTGTGGTCGTCCGCTCCCGCCCCGGCTGGAAGGGACAGGACCCCCGGAAACCTAGAAGAGCCGAATAAAAGGGCGCACGCGCCCGGGGAACGGAAGGGGCGGGGAAGAAGCGGGCAGCGGGGGCGGCACCACCTTCCGGGAGTCCGCGGAGACGGAGCCACCTCCGGTTCCTCCCTACAGCCGGGGTCCTCCCTAAATCGCCGGTTCCTGGGCAGGGATAGCATGGGGAGAAATGCCAGATGCCGGTGAAGGGGAGGAAGGCAGCAAATCACACTGCCACGTGTGTACCTATGCAACTATCTATCCCAAAACCTAAAATGCAATAAAAAAAAAAAGTATTCATTGAATATTTACTTAATGAATAAATATTTATCCTTGTTAAAAAAAGAAAAAAAAATTCGTCGGTTCCTGGCGGAAGCGCCAGTCACCTCCGCCTCTCTTTAGTTGGATTCTTCCCCTCCAGCTCTATTTGCTCTTTTCCCCTTCGCTCCCTCAACAGTTGGTTCCGTCCACTCTAGCCCCGCCCCTACGGGCCGTCTCCTTTGGTGCGGTGACGTGCGCCAGGGGGCAGTGGCTGATGACGTGTTTTATAGGCGGCCTAAAGCGAAAGTGCCGGCAGCTGAAAGGCGAAGTTCAATCCCAGTGTCCGCCTCCTGAACTGGAGCCTTTCCGAAGGAGGAAGCTCTGAAACACAGGGGCCCAGTGCGGTTCCGCAGGGAAGAACAGCTTGTGTTCAGCTGTTCTACACAATGGACTCAGTACCTGCCACTGTATCTTCTCTCCCCGCCACCCCGGGGGACCCGGAACTTCTGGGACCCCTGTCGGTGCTCTACACAGCCTTCATAGCTCAGCTGCTGGAGGTGAGGGTACCCATTCCCAGGGAGGGACCCCACCTTTGGCAGGCGGGTGGACGAATTCTAAGCAGAGTGGGTGCACCGATTGTCTCTGCAAAGGAGAAACGGCGTGTCAGATCCGAGGAAGGCAAGACGTTTTATGCTGTTTAGGGAGTCAGGTGGAAGTGTGTTTGAGGTTTCGTCACTTTTATTTTAATTGAGTACTTAACGTAATGACCGCACTTTATGTTCTGGTGTATAGTCATGATCAAATCACAGCCTACAGGTCTTTTCACTATAACCCCCGGCACTGTTGGGAGATGGGGCCGGTATGATAGTGTACTTGCAGAGGACCGTGAAAACAGCAGACAGGTGTTTAATGTACTGTTTTCAAGGAAATATTTAGAATTAAGGCACTAAATTCAAAGCGGTTTATGTAGATCAGTTATCAGGAGCTATCATAATTTACTCAGCGTTCTTTGTTTATGTAAGAGTTGATTTAAGATTGTAAGTCTTAGAGGAATAGCACTTCTTTGTGGTATTCATTATCATAATGTTGGTTTTATTTTTAGCCATAAAAAGTTGATCACGTGTATATCTGAGGTTTTTTGTCTTAATGTGTTTTCTTAAGCAACAAAAACCAACTTATTCAAGAGAAAAGTATGATCCAGAGAGATTCTAGCCATGTTTTAGATAACATATTGTATCAGGGCCTATTGCAAACTAGAAATACGTGCTCAACCTAAAGACATTTAGACTCATAATACTTTGAAACACTACAAGCCAAACACTAAGTATGAGACTCCCAGTGTCCTATTTTTCTTGAAGCAGTGAGAGCTATGGAAGATTTTTGAGGGGATAGTTATCTGACAGAGTTGTTTTAGAGTTTCGATGGATGAGTCTTTGTGACTGCTTTATGTTAAGTTTCTTTAAGGTTTCTCATTATTTCTAATATGCCGTTTTCAGCTAGTTTCTACATTGCCTGATGATGTTCAGCCTGGGCCTGATTTTTATGGACTGCCATGGAAACCTGTTCTTATCACTGCCTTCTTGGGAATTGCTTTAGTTGCTGTTTTCTTCTGGAGAACTATCCTTGTTGTGAGTAAATTAATGTATACTATATCTCATAAATTCAAGTATGGTTTTATAATCATAGCCCTTTTCTTTCTTTTTTAGTTATTAACATGAACAGAAATTAACACTATTAATTCAAGCTAACCCTGTAAAATAATTTGGTGTAATTTTTGTCTTGGTAAATTGTCTTTTTTCTTTTTTGAGACAGAGTCTTGCTCTGTCCCCCAGGTTCACTGCAACCTCTGACTCCCGGGTTCAAGCTCTTCTCTGCCTCAGCCTCCTGAGTAGCTGAGGTTGTTGGCGCCCACCACCATTCCCAGCTAATTTTTTTTTTTTTCGTATTTTTAATAGAGATGGGGTTTCACCATTTTGGCCAAGCTGGTCTTGAACTCCTGACCTTGCGATCCACCCGCTTCGGCCTCCCAAAGTGCTGGGATTATGGGTGTGAGTCACTGCAATCGGCCCTTGTGTTGATAAATTCTTAAGTAACAACAAGATAACAAGTATAATCTGGATGGGAAAATTTCAATTTATATGTCCCTTATATCAAAATTTAAATAATAAGAATTAGTTGGGTCTTTATCTCAACTCAAAAAGGAAAAAAAAAACAATTAGATAGGTCATATGTACACTGTTAGTAGAATTGGGAATTCTTAGAGCCATCCTGAAAAGTAGTTTCATGATATGCGTCAGAAGTCTTAAAAATGGTTATCTCCTTTTATATTGTATTACTATTATGTCTAGTAATCTATCCAAAAGAAATAACTAGTCGGCCGTGCACGATGGCTTGCACCTCTAATCTCAGCACTTTGGGAGTCCAAGGCAGGCAGATCATTGAGGCCACGATTTTGAGACCAGCCTGGCCAACATGATGAAACTTCATCTCTACTAAAAATTTAAAAATTAGCTGGTGTCATGACGCACACCTGTAATTCCAGCTACTTGAGAGGCTGAGGCAGAGAATCACTTGAACCTGGGAGGTGGAGGCTGCAGTGAGGCCACATGTGCTACTGCACTCCAGCCTAGGCCACAGAGTGAGACTCCATCTCCAAATAAATAAATAAATAGATAGATAGAAAAGAAAAGAAATAACCAGTCATACATTAAATATCTTGCATGGCTGGGCCTGGTAGCTCACAGCTGTAATCCTAGCATTTTGGGAGGCCGAGGCAGGTGGATTACATGAGGCTAGGAGTTTGAGGCCAGCCTGGGCAACAAGACGAAACCCCATCTCTACCAAAAATACAAAAATTAGCTGGGTGTGGTGGCAGAAGCTTGTAATCCCAGCTACTCTGGAGGCTGAGGCAGGAGAATCGCTTGAACCGGGAAGGCAGGTTGTGCCACTGCACTCCAGCCTGGACAACGAAGTGAGAATCTGTATGAAAAAAAAAAGTTATAAATATCTTACATAAGAGCATTCAGTGGAACAGTATTTATTAGAGTGAAAACTTTGCACAACCTGCTGTGATTCACAGTAGGAAAATTGTAAATTATTTTATGTTCATATAATGGGATATTAGTCTGCTTTATATAATTCAAAAACAGGAGCACAACAAATACTCACAATTTAACATGAAGTAGAAAAAAAGTAGAAACTAAGCCTTTAAGGTGTAGATAAACTGTCGTCAGTATACACACAGAAAATAAATGCTGCAAGGAAATACAACAAAATGATAAAAATTCTTTTATCTAGATGAGGTAAGTTTTCAGTTTTTAAAAGATGTGTGTTTCTGATTTGATTATGTACTATTTTACTCAAAATATTTTTTATTTGGAAATACAGATTATATCATGTGCAAAGACACGATTAAGTCTTTTTAATCTTTTAGTCTTCTGTGCAGAATTTCTCTCTCAGACGTAAACATATGTATGTGTAAGTGTATATACTCATACTTGTACCTACTTATGATTATACTGTATTGCATTTAGCTTAACATATTTGGGAGAATATGTTATTTAACATAATTAGGAGAAGATTATTTTGTATCAATGAGCTTTGCAGATATGAAAAGCTTTCGATTGAAATTTAACAGTTAAAATGGCCAAAATAATTGAATGCAAATCTTTCTAAAACGAAGTATTCTTCTTCTGATTTCATAATTATATCACATATATCATCGTTAATAATTTTTCTCTGCTTTCACAGTTGATTGTAAAATCACGTATAAAGAAGGGTCTTTTTTCCCGTGAGGCTTTCTTGAACCTCACAGGACTTTTCCTCAGATAAAAAGGGAGAATCGAAGGGTAAATGGAAGGGGAAAAGGTGAAAACATTTTACATTTCCCACTGTTGTTTCTCCTATTTATTAATAAAAAAAGTCTAACACCTTTTTTGTTTTTCAGAAAGTTATATAGGCCCTCTGTCCTAACTGCTGTTCCTCAGCCTCAGCATTTGAGTTTTGGAACCTTGGTCTCTGCTTGCCTGTTAGTTTGGGTGAAATGGAGCACAGGAAGTTTGCTCTCATTAGCAAGGCCGTTAGAGAGAGAGTAATTTCTTTGCATGTTGGAAATTTCTGAATGCATATTCCTATAGTAATAGTATTTTAAGTGAGATTTAGATACTGTAATTATTATGTATACAGTATATTAATTGCTATATATAATAACAGCATATTATACAGTGTATTATGTAAACACTATATTAATTTAGTGAGATTATTCTGGGTGATTTGTGAACTGGTGTTAGTGTCTCATCACCATTTATGACATTTGAAAGGGATAAATATGTTCTGGGTTGCCAAGAAATTTAGTAAAATTCTTTTTTAGAGATTAGTTACTAGGAGGCTGAGGCAGGAGAATTGCCTGAACCCAGGAGGCGGAGGTTGCGGTGCGCCGAGATTTCGCCATTGCACTCCGGTCTGCGTAAGGAGAGCGAAACTCTGTCTCAAAAAAGAAAAAAAAAAAAATTAGTTACTGCTTGGCTTTTATTGTCCCATAATTTAGTGCTGTTTTTGGCGGATGATTTGGGTCCTGCCCTTCCAGGAAGATGATAGTTGTCATTTGTGTCGTTGCTTGTGCATTTTCCTCTAGCAGTCTTCCCTTCCCTGTCAGGTTCATGAGCACTGTTTTTAGTGGTCTAAGAAAGTCAAATGATCTGCCTTAGTGTTAATAGAATCGTTTCTAAATCCAGCCAGTAGTCAACTTTGAACAGGATTTCTCAGATATTTTCTGGAAAGCAAAAGAGGTGTATCTTAGTACGAAGATTATACCTTTAATTTTGTTTCCTCAGAGTCTTTTTGAGTAGTCAGTGTTTTTAGATTTCATTCTGGCTCTTTGGAGTTGTCAAATAAGTGACTTTGAGAAAATAAAATGTTAACATATTTATTATAAAAATACTAGCCATTTCTGTTATTCAAGTGAAGTGCTCATTTCATGAGACTGGTG